TCTATAAAGCCTTTTGTTTGCCTTATATAGATTTCTTCCTCTAAATCACCATGAAGGAAAGTTGTCTTTACATCTAACTGCTCAAGATGTAGATTATATACAGGTACAATTTTCAACACCAGTCTAATTGTAGACAGCTTCACAGAGAGAAAATTTCATTGTACTCAATACCTTATTTTTGCTGAAAACCTTTGACAACCAATCTTGCTTTGTAGTGTTTGCTCCCATCGTGCTCTTCTTTGATCCTATAAACCCACTTGTTATGGAGCGCTTTCTTGCCTGGTGGTAATTCAACTAATTCCCACGTCTGATTTGACATAAGCGAGTCCATCTCATCTTTCATGGAAGACTCCCACTTGACTAAATCCTCCACCTGCATTACTTCATCATAGCACTCTGGTTCACCTTTTCAGTCAGCAACAAGTAATGCAAAGAAGGCGAATAATGTTGGGTTGGTTTAGGAATTCTGGAGGAGTGTCTCAGTTCTGGTGTGACTGGTTCTTCTTGAACTGCTTCAGGACTGATCTGAACATCATTTCCAGAAATCTCCTCAAACTCAGTAAATTCCTTTGTTTCAGCTTCGGTATTGGAGCTATTTGATTCTATGGTTGATATGTCTTTGTACATCACATTCTAATTGAAAATAACATTTCTGCTTCTGATAATCTTTCGATTTTCTTAGTCCCAAAACCGGTAACCAAACTCATCACCACCATAACCAACAAAGACACATTTTTTAGACATAGCATCAAGTTTACTTCTTTCAGCAGAATTTATGCGTACATAAGAAATACAACCAAACACTCTTAAGTGTGAAAAGGTTTATTTCTTTTCTACTCCAAACTTCCACTGGTATTCACCATCCAAGGAATTGAGGGCCCACGATTGATCATGTAAGTTGCAGTGTTGATAGCTTCAGCACATAGCAATTTGGGCAAGCCGACATGTATCCTCATGCTTCTGGCATGTTCATTCAAAGTTATATTCATGTGCTCTGCTACGCCATTCTGCTGCGGTGTCATGGGAACTATTGTATTCATATTGATCACATTGTTTGCGTAAAATTCTCTGAATCTAATATTTCTATACTCTCCTCCATTATCATACCTCAACCATTTGACTTTCAAACCAATCTTATTTTCCACCATGACCTTCCATTTTCTAAAGGTATCAAAGACTTTTGATTTTTCTTCAGAAAATAAACTCACATCTTCTTTGTAGAATCATTTATGAAGGTGCATAATATAGTGAGCCTACAAGAGATGGAACTGGAGATGGTCCCCATACATCAGTATGAACCAACTCTAACTTTTCAGCCTTGGGTGTCTTGCCAATCTTTGCAAAACTGACTTTCTTTTGTTTGCCAAAGATGCAATCCTCACACAGTTCGATATATATACTCTTTAGACTCAGCATCTTCCCTTTTGACAAAAATGTCATCATCCTTTTCTCGCTTATATGGCCAAGCCTTTGGTGCCATATGTTTGATTTTCCATCAGCATCTGCTACTGCAATGATATTCTCCAAGTTTGAGATTACATAGAGACTACCAGACTTCTTACCATGAGCAATGACAAGTGCTCATTTGGTAATCTTCCATTCACAACATGAAAAGGTTGTACAATATCATTCTCCATCAAGCTGTCCTACAGAAATCAAATTTCTTTTGAGGCCAGGAATATGTCTCACTCCTTTCAGCTTCCAGGTGGTCTGGTTTGGCAACTTTAATCGGATGTCTCCTTTTTCGACGATCTTCAAGGTTTCATCATTAGTTAGATGAACCTTCCCAAATTCACTACTGACATAGTTCTCCATGATTTCTTGGCATGGGTGGCGTGGAAAGATGCCCTTGAATCCAAGATTCATGATTCAATCAGACTATTGATGCTTAGAATCATGGCATCACCTATTTCCTCTGTCATGTTGGCAGATTCCTATGTGTCGGTATCTTTCTTCAGTGCTCGTCAATCTCTTTTAAAGTGACCCTTTTTGATTTTCCCCTTCTAGATTTTGATCTACCACGATTTGGATTTCTTTCTAAAGTTCTCCCTCTAGACTCTGTGTGCAAGGCTGAGGAGCTTGTTGCTTCACCCGATTCTCTCCGTCGAATTCTTCACTCAATACCAGATCTCGAACATCGTCGAATTTCAATTTACTGTTTCTCAAAGAGCTGCTGACTGCTATAATAGTATCATTCCAACTGTCTGGTAGATATGATAAGAATTAAAGCTCGAACTTCATCATCGAATTCAATTTTCACGTAACTCAGCTGGTTGTGATTGTGTTGAGTTCATTTAGTTGTTGACCCATTGATGCCCCTTCCTCCATCCAGAAATTGAATAATCGCCTCATCAAGTTAACTTTGTTTGAGGCCGATGACTTCTCATACATACTGGAGAGAGCTACCATAAGACACGTTGTGGTCTTTTCCTTTGTTATGTTGAAAGCAACATTGCGGGATAACGTCAGTCAGATAATTCCGAGGGCTTGTCTGTTGAGAAGAACTCAGTCTTCATCCTCCATGCCCTCTGGTTTCTTTCCTGAGAGAGGTTGATATAGCTTTTTCTGGTACAAAAAATCTTCAATCTGCATATTCCAAAAACCAAAATCCACACTATCGAACTTCTTAATTTTCACATTCCCTTCGTCTGCAGCCATCACTCCCACTCGAATCTAGCTTCTTTTGGATCGTTTCTGATAATTCCTGTGAACCACCGTGTATTAGAACACCTCCGTCGACAACCTCATATTGCCGACCAAAGTTTACAATTCACAAAATTCATTATTCATATAATAGTAACCTCACAGAAAAAACTGACAAAATTCACCACCAAAAAGCTCTGATGCCTGTTGTTGGGAAATTAAACGTGCAATTTTCCTATAACCAGATTAGTGAGAATGTGAAATAAAAGCATAATAACAACACATGAAATTGATAATAGAGTACGGCCAATTATGCCTACGTCTCTAGACTGTTGCAGATCTTTTACTAAAGGGAGAAAATTTACAAGTGTTTACAAAAAACACTCACAACTCACAACCCAATTACACCCTGAAAATTGCTCTCAATTTTATCTCATTGAAGCTTTTCTCTCTAAGATTTTCTTTGTGTTTCTCGCTTGGATTTTAAGAACATGTTGGGATGAGCTATTTATAGATGCAGAAACCCCCCATTCTTATTGCTACCAACTAATTCATTTAATTGGCTTTCCTTATTTTCAAGAAAAGATGCACCCTCAATTGGGTTGTTGGCTTGGCAACCAATTTCTCCTATTGCCATTTATTGCACCTGCAAGTTTGACTGACATTACCTTTATTCGCAGCCACTATCTGAAATGAAAGGTGTCTTCTCCTTGCTCCACTCGTATACTCATATTTTAAAGTGAATGTTGATGTTTGTTTTTCCTACACACCAGAAATCATGCTCAGGTTTCATTATCAGAGATAGTGAATGATATATTTTAGGTTCTAGTTTTATTCACAACAATTGTATTACCTCTGTTTTTATGGTAGAAGCTTTCGCAATTCTCCAAGGTGTACAATTTACTTGAGACCTCAAACTTAAATGAGAAAGATCATCCAGAAATTAAATGAGAGTACAACAATTTATCTTATTTAGGTCCTATTATTCGGGATGCAAAGGTTACAGTGGGAGTATTATCTCTTGCTCATCGTCTTTATCAGCAGAAACAACAATAGGGAAATGCATGCAATGGCTTCAGAGGGTCCTCGACTCGTCTCCGACCAGATGCGCCAGAGGAAGCTCTTAAAGCAACTGATGATGACCATCGGTTCATTGACCCACCATAACCTTTTTTTGGGTTTTTGAATCTACATGCATGTGACTTTTCTAGCACTAGACTTTTGAGTCTTCCCTCTACTCTCTTCTTTAGACACCGAGCTCTCACAGGTGTCCTTCTTCTATGCTGAAGACTATCGTTTGATGGCCTACCTTCAAAAACTTTTGTTCATGGGGATGAGGTTAATCTGCAGAGGTCAAAAAGGTTGAAGGAAGAAGAGATTATTAGAAAAGGGGAATATCAACCTTTGTTTTAGTTTTTTTTATTAAGTTAAAACTAAATCATCTATTAAATAGGTTTTGTTTCATTAAGTAACCAAGTAAGTAGTTTGGTTTGGTGGCAAAGTGAATTTCATTTCATCCTTTAGATTCAGGTTCGAGTCAATCTTTGATTGATAAGAAATAATTAAATATAAATAATAAATTTTATTTTTAAAAAAATATGATGTGGCAGTGCCACGTTATCAATCACCATGAGCTGGACATCCACGTCAACTTTCCCTCCATGTGTGTGCCCTGTCAGCATCAGGCGTTGACAGTCAGTTGACTGACGGTTGCCATCCACTATTGATTGTTTTTAACCAAAACTAAACGTTTAGTGGTCAAATGTTCCAAAAAAAAATTCGGGTGGGTTTAACACCATTATCAAACGTTAGGGTTATTTTATTACATTATGCCTTAAAAATACTAATTATAAAACTATAAAACTCTAAGATGACAGAAAACATATTATTAATATAAAATACAAAAAGAATATCTAAAATATATAATAATTTAAAATTTTCAGGGAACCTCGTTCTCTCTTCAATCTTTCCCTACATGCAATCACTAGCGGAAGATGAGAATGAAGGTTGAAGAAGATGTCCTTGGAAATCCTAAGCTCTTATAAAGATATGTCTAGACAAGAGAAAAATGTAAATTTGAAACAATGCAAGTAAAACACTAAAACAATTGCAAAGAAAAACACTACATTTCAAGAGATCAATGCATAATCCTAAGATCAACGACATTCATATGAAAATAAACATTCTTACAACCATAGGTCAGACAGAGTAAAGATGAGCATATGATACAAGGTTCAAACTACTTTTATAATCATATTGTAATTTTTCCGGAATCAGCAACATCAAAGATAAACATCACACATTGGACCAACAGAGCAGTAAAGATGAGAACATGATACTATTTCGTATCATAACTTTTAGATTCAAACTCTAACAATTTACCATACCATTAGCATTCAAGAGTGATTTTGCTCCATGTGGTTCAGATGGTACGTCCCTTCGTTCTTATGGTGTACCTCCACCATATGAAGCACGGGGGCGACGAAGGAGCCCCGTTTCAAGTACTTGATACGTTTTTGGCACGAGGACAACGGGATACGTATTGGAGACGCGTCATGGTGGCAGGGTACGACTGACAAAATTCGGGGACAGTCAAAGCGTATCTGGGGACGTTTCGTGGATGTCCCCATGAGTAATTTTGATAAAAAAGTACAAGAACCAAAAATAAGAACTAGAAAAAAAAGAGACGAGAAAGATTAAAGAACAAAAAAAAAGAGTAAACGAATTGTGCGAACGATGATCTGGTATGGAAATAAGTAAATAACAAACAAAAATGGAGAATAAGGGTTTATAAGCACGCGAAACAATGTTTGTTGTAAATGGAGAAGTAAAAGGAAGAAGCGACCACATCGGGAGAAAAGAAATAAAAGGAAGAAAAGCTACGGGGAGAGTTAGAATAGGATTTAAGGAATTTTTGGTATAATTGTCAATTGATCCCTCATCTTTGTAGGGCTTTCAAATCTGGCAACAAGTTTTGTAGTATTTACAAATTGAACACTAAAATTAATTTAGTTGTTTGGAAAAAATTATCAAATGTTAGGATTTTAATTAGGGTTAAATTAGGGTGTTACACCAATTTTCTATGAAATATTGGTTTTATTTATGATATTTTTATATCTATGTATAATTTTTTTTAAAAATTAAGACTAACAGCAAACGATTGAAATTTTGAGTCAAACAACAAAAGAGTTATCTCCCAACAATCTCAAACACAACCACTAATATCGGTCCCTTCCTAGGATCCAAAATTTGAGACACCTATGACCCACAATCACACGAAACCCCCACCCTGTCACCTGCTGCTGAAAAGTTTTGTGATACGTTTCTAAAAAAAGTAAATTCTGATTTATGAACTTAATTGAAGAGTTTTTAGTATTATCTAATTCAAATATTGAATGACAATATTACCCCTATTTGTAAATTGTTTGGTTTGATATCATTTTTTCATGTTTGTTGATATGATTAGCGACATTGTTTTGTAATAATCATGTTCCACAATTGTATGTTATTTTTATTTTGTTATATAATATTTTAAATATATTAATGGTAATACGAATATGGGGCTTTTTCTTTTCTTCTTTTTCCCTTCTCTTCTAATTATTAATATAAAAATTGATTTAGAGGCTAAAAAATAATCGTTAGATAATAAAAAGGCCTTTCTATTCTCCATATAAAAAAAGAGCATGATACATGAATTAAATTATACTAGAGATTGAAAGACTTTTAAAAGGGGAAGCGGCTGTTGGAGGAAGACTTGAACACAAGTCAGTTATTAGCCAACCTTGCTTATTTTAATATTAGTAGCGCATGCAAAGCAAAGCATCATTTTTAACCAAGAGGGTTGGAGATCAAGCTTCCTCGAGTTTTGCATTCAGGTTTGGCTTGTTGCTGGTGGGATCAATGTCGAGAGTTGACTTGAATCCTAGCTTACTGGCTTCAGCATGGTTGGTAGCCTTTTTCAGTTGTGCATTGATGTTGTCCCAATTAATAGGGCTATCAGTAGTAATCTCGGTATAGACCTGCAATTGGAAGAGATTGAATTGTTTAATACCAAAGAATAAGGGGAAAAAACAGATATGATCTTAATGATGGGTTCGGTATAAAAAATGAAATTGATGAATACCTTATTGTCTTCATTATTCCCATTCCTCCATGCAACAACCCACTTAATGTTTTGTTTGATAACAAACACAGATCCGGCTATGGAGGATCCGACATTGGAATCGGCCAAGTGTTGAAAATATCGTGTCTGATGCGATGGAACATTTAGCGGCTGATTCCCAGTTCCATACCAATCTTTTTTGTCGAACGTGCTTAAATCTTCATCGGTTTGATTGTTAAGATACACCTCTGTAGATATTGCAGGACCAACCTTGCTTGGAGAAGCCATCGTCTTGCCTTAGTTTTATATTTCAAAGAAACTTATGCTATTGGTTTGGTTGTGGAGTAGTATACTACAAACCCATATATATATATATACACACACTAGTCTGCAGCCCACTATATGACAAAAAGTTGTTAGAACTCGATTTGTCACATGTTGGTTTAACATTAATTATTTATATGTGGTTGCTGTAACTAATTACATTGGATTTGTATTCTGGCAGAATTGAATCAAGTCCATGTGCTGGTCTCTCCAAAGTGTAGAGCCCTAGAACATCGTTATGTTTTTTTAATTGTGGTAGTTATAACTATTTTGTAAGATTAAATATTTTAATGCTAGTTTTTAACATGTATTATCCACGTGTCGATTCTAATTTCATTATTTGATACCAAGTCTATATAACTAATTTCTTCTTTTTTAAAGAAAAATAAAAGACTACAAATATTTTAATATTTAACTTATGAGTTGCGATTTGCATTAAAAACCTAGAAATTCTGTCTTTGGAAATGATGCTTTTGCCCTTACTATTTGTTGGAAAAGTTACCATAAATTAGAAACTTTGAGCAATATATTAAATAGGTAAAGGTGGAGATTTGAATGATGAATTTATTTATTCATATTCTATTCCATGAGATCTTTATAACAGTATCTCATATGCTTAAAACGATTGAGTGATGAATTATATATTGATACTCAAAGTAGGGTGCTTGTGAATTATGCAAGAAAAATGAGAAAACTCATAACCCATAAGCGTGTTGTGCAAATCAAAGATCTCCGAATGTATCAATGTATGGGGCTGAATGTTCTTATCAACCAGCCCTATTGAAGGTTTGTGGTTATTTTACGCACTACAAATTAAAAAAAAAATCTTAGTGGCATATTTTCTTGAATATTCTGAATTAAAATGATATCTTATGATTTCATGATATTCGAATATTAATATGATAATGTCTTGCCATTCAAGAATATATATTTGATCAAAAAAAGGTATTAATGGCTTACTTTCAATTTTATTCGTATACTCATTGATTAGCTTAATTTCAAAATATATAATTTGCAACTATTCTCCCATGTGTAGCCCTATAAATACCTTGTAAACCTTCTATACCGTGTAAACATTCTAGGTTAAACACAACTCAAAAAACTTTTTTTCTCCTATTCTTTTCAATAATAGGCTCAAGAAAGGGTATAGTTCATCATATCTACAATTGTGTTACTGTACGTTGATCATCTAGTTGTTGTATCCCATGAGACAGATGACTAACAATCTGAAGCACCAACGAGTAATAAAAACTATGTCTAAAGAAAACTGTGTAGTTACAAGCCTCAACTCGTTTCCAATCGTTAATTTGTCAGAGATCGTGTATTTGTTTCTAAACTATTCTTTTTGAATATTTAATAAAAATATTCTATTTTTATTTTATTATCGTTTCAAATTACTTGTAACATTCTTAAGTTAAATTTTTATCTTCTACTTTTCTTCTAATCCAAGAAGATTCAAAAATTTTGGTGAAATCAAAAAAACAAAGAAATTTGTTTTTTTTTTGTCTTATCCTATGTTCTTATGAGTTTGCCTAATATGAAAGTGAACAAATCTATTTAACATAAATTATTGTTAAAGTAACATTGGTTACTAATTTTTTCAGATTATTGATTCTGCGCGGTAACAAAATCAAAATTAAATAATAATTAATTTTTTATTTATTAGAATTAGTAATACTTCTAGTTCCATATTTTAAAAGAGAAACGAATATGGGAGACTTCACTCATTCACCCAGCTTGGATACTAGAATGATGATTTTAGCTCATAATTCAAATATGAATATGAATCGATCAACAATAGCAGTTAACCACAATGAGAAGCCGACAAAGTTTTATTGACATGATTTTATGACATGTAAGAACAAGATGTTTTTCTATCTAACCACGATGAACTTTTCTAAGTTTATGAAGGGAAATCCTACAGTCTTTAAAGAGGGAGAGAGAAAATGAGAGGTAGACAATATTATGGCCTTCAATATTATTGAAGCTTGGAAGCACTCTAACTTCCTATGGTGAACTATATCCTTAATAGTTTACAAGATTCATTGTATCTTATATACCTTGTTTATCAAACTACTAAGAAATTGTAGGAGTCATTGGAGCTTAACTAGTAATGTAACCCCCTCAACTTGATGTGGGTGACCTGATTCGATTGGGGTGTCACATTAGGGCCACCGGAGCGACCCACCGTAAAAATCTCAGAAAAATTAAATTTTTTTATTAAAACATGTAAAGTCATAAAATCGTTTATAAATACAAAAATAAAATTTACCAGTATTCAGAAATAAAATAAATTTTAGACTCATACCCCCTAATCACATGCACCGTACTCTGTAAACAACGCCGGTAGAACTCCCTTACTAAAGTCGATAGCTGTACTAGTACGATTCTTTTAACCTGAAATGGTGAGTAATAGAGTGAGCTTTGGGAATCTCGGTAATACAAAACTACCAGAAGATTCTAAGGAACATGCATATAACAGATAAGCATAATTTTCTTATTGGTTCAGACATCTACAAATTTCTATGCTGAGCGTAGATTCTACTGATATTTCAAGTAGTAACAAAAAATAAGCTTTCAGTTTAGAGGGAAATATTTCGAATATATGGGTCAGGATATCAGAATAGGTTGTCTAGTGTGTTCCCACAAAACCAGTGAAAATGTACATATCATTTTTAAAACAATAACAATGTAAAACTTACTTTTAAAAACCATTGTAAAACCCTCCAACCGAACGTCATATGTTATACCCCAGAACTACATAGCTTAAGGGAGTAACTTGGGGCCTGGGAGCCTACCCAAGAAAGTTCTCAGGGCCACGGGTCCTACCAAAGAAAAATCTTGGGTCCACAAGGAATTATCAGTCGGTGATGAACCTATAAAAGGAATTACCAGCAACGACTGAACCTGCCAGAGATAGAAATTACCAGTCGATGCAAAACCTATACAATGAATTACCAGCAACAACTGAACCTGCCAAAGTTCTCATACCAAATCCAGAGTACCCTAAATAAAACATTTTCAGTCAAT